AATCACATTTTCTTGGTAAAAAACCTATAACTCTCGAATGGTAGGAATCTTTTTTTTGCAAATTATAACGGCTGTAAGTAAATATATTCAAATAATTGATAATATGAGATAATAAATAATATTAATAGTATTAAATTGGCTGGTAATTTGACTTATCAAGAGTTACATATATTGCACATACTCCCTCCCTTTCTTTTTATAAGATATTTTTTTTTGGCCTAAAAAGAATCAATTTTATTAATCATTTCATAATATGTTTTTAAGTGCTCTGCTTATAATAAAAAATAGTTAGAGTTAAAATGATATAAAAGTTGTTAACATTCCTTTCATTAAAAAAAAAAAATCTACCATTCCACTTTTCAAGTTTCATTATTCTACATTTTTCCTTTAAGGTTTGTTTGGTTTTCCTTCATTTTACGTTCAGAAAGCAAAATTTTACTTTTAAAAAGTTGAAAGTTGTTTGGGTAGAATATTTTACAGGAAAGCACATCCTGAAAATACATTCAAACAGTAACTGAAAGTGAATTTTTGAAACATAATTATTTAAAATTTTTGAAAAATGAATTTGAAAAGTAAAATGTTATTTGACCATACTACCTTAAATTTAATCTCTTATTCTTTTATTTAAAAATAGTTAATTCATTAAAAATATAATTATTATTTTAATAATAATAATTAGGTATCAATTTTTTTAGTATTATAAATTGAGTAATTAATCATATTAATTTTTAGCATTAATGTATAATAAAAATTACAAATCTTTATTACATCTTTTAAAATTACAAATTAAAAAATACAAATAACTAGAGATCAAATTTTTAGCATTATAGATCAAAATTTATGTTTTTTAAAATCTTAATTATATTTTTTAAATATTTTAAATATATTACATTTGTATAATAAAAATTATAAATAATTATAAATTAATATCTTTTTTGATAATTGTACACTCAAAAGTATATTTCACTATTACAAACCAAACAACTTTAAACGTATCAAACTGACTTTTGACAAAATATATCCAAACACAAATTTCGTTACAACAACTGACTTTTACTAAATTGACTTTCACCAAATGAACTTTCACCAAATGAATTTTTGACAAACTGAAAACTAAACGCACACTAAGTGTCCATTTGGTTTTCCTTCGTTTCACGTTCAGAAAGCAAAATTTCACTTTCAGAAAGTTGAAAGTTGTTTGGGTAGAATATTTTGCAGGAAAGCACATCCTGAAAGTACATTCAAACAATAGCTGAAAGTGATTTCTGAAACATAACTATTTGAAGCTTTTGAAAAGTGGATTTGAAAAGTAGGATGTTATTTAACCATACTACCCTAAGTTTAATCTCTTATTTTTTATTTAAAAAATAGTTAATTCATTAAAAATATAATTATTATTTTAATAATAATAATAATTAGGTATCAATTTTTTTAGTATTACAAATTGAGTAATTAATCATGTTAATTTTTAGCATTAATGTATAAAAAAATTAAAAATATTTATTATATCTTTTAAAATTACAAATTAAAAAATAAAAATAATTAGAGATCAAATTTTTAACATTATAGATCAAAATTTATGTTATTTATAATCTTTATTATATTTTTTAAATATTTTAAATATATTACATTTGTATAATAAAAATTATAAATCATTATAAATCAATGTCTTTTTTGGTAATTGTACATTCAAAAGCACATTTCACTATTACAAACCAAACAACTTTTAATGTATCAAACTGACTTTTGAAAAAATATATCGAAACACAAATTTCGTTACAACAACTGACTTTCATGAAACTGATTTCACTAAATGAACTTTTACCAAATGAATTTTTGGCAAACTGAAAACTAAATGCACGCTAAATTTTTTGGGGTTGGCTTCTCTCCATTGCGTTATTCCTCCACTGCCTTTCCATTTAATTAATGGGACGTTGTTTTATGTAAAACTCAACCATTCATTTCGTTATAATCGAAAAGGAATAAAGATGCCTAGATGTACTATAAGGGAACTTCATTCTTCGCTTCACTCTATTTCATTGTGTGAAGGCTTTCCCCTTTCTCTTCATCAACCTCTGCTCCATGTTGTTAAAGAGGTCTTCATTGATAATGTCTACCCACATGCTTCTTCTTCGGTGAATTTGATAGTCTTCCTTGTTAGTGAATGTTCAATAGCTTTACCCATGATTCATCCTTAATTCTTCATCCATCTATATGGTGAGGATGGAATTAGTTGCATGATTTATTTATTTTTTTAAATAAAATTTGTGATATGTAATTTCCTTGTTCAATTAAGGTAAGAGTAGCTCATCTATTAGTGTTTCAAATTATTGAGAGAATTTAATATTGATCATGATTGAAACCATATAAAAACAAAGATATGAAGCTGTACATATAAAAATTACAAAATAGAGGTATAAAAACTAACAATGAAACTATCAACACATGTATAAAACTAATGAATATATAATCTCATAAAAAAATAAAGAGCAACAACCACTGAATATAAGTAAATGAAAACTATTGACTACCCTTCTCATAGATAAAAGTAGTAAGCTTACTTACCAGAAACCAATTTCAATAAAATCCTTTTTCTTGGATGGCAATTTCTTCTTGCACATCTAAACAAGTTTTTTGGAGGCAAACTAATGAATTTTTTGCTCTGGAACCAAGAGTTTTGGAAGCAGAAGAATGAAAAGTAAAAACAATGGTAATGAAGGGTTGGGATTGTTTCATGAAATGGATGGCCCATATCTTCTTTACTAGCTTAAACGGTGTGTTTTTATTAAATGGACAGGCAGTGGAAGAATAGGTCAATGGGAAGAAGCCAACTCCAGGAGGCACACTTATTAGAGGCTTAGAAGCTGGTTGACTCATTTTTAAAGTATAAGGGAGAATTGCATTATAGAATTATAGGACTACTGTAGCAATTTATCTTCAAATCAGGACCATGCAATTCTGAAATCACACTGCAGCCTTAGAGGATCAAAATGAAATTAAGCTTCATGTCAAAAGGACATTATTGCCCCTAATGTTTAAACATGAGGAAAACGTCTAATAGAATCTATTTTGAAGAAAGCTTCGACACATCTTCTTACTATTTGCATAAACCACAGTCGGAGCCCGTTTTGCAGACGTGTAAGGAGTTTGCTTGAGTTTTCTGGGGCAACAATGTCTTCCATTTGGTTATTCAAAGCTGCTTTTGACTTTGGAGTATATAATCGAAGGTTTGGCCGTTCGGCATTGTGTAACCATAAATCAATTGTTTTCGTCAGTGTTGAGAATTGCAAAGTACAATCATACTCTGATAGTAAAAGACTATTTCATTTTCATTTTCTTCTTTTTGTAATAAAATATCCATAGATAGATTCCTGATGATTTCTTGTCTTGTTAATAGTTATTATTGATTTATATTTGTTCCCTCTTGTAGCTAAGGATTCCATCTTGTCCAAGATATGGAACTGTAACAACAATTGGTTATTTCAGTATGTATCACTTGTTAAATAGTTATAACTGCCTGTTATATTTTAATATTAGCTTTTGATGATATTGCACAAGCAATATAAGAGAATTTACAAGTAAGATTTTATAATTTACAAATGAAATTAAAGGAATTTATATTATTTTGAAGACAAGTACATTTTTAAACTTTACAAGATATTTTACTTATGAGGTTAGTTATTTAACCAGTCATGTATGAATCTGCACATGTTAGATATTTGACAAGTAACATTATAGACTTGACAAGAAACATAAAGTAATTTACAAGCAATATTAGATACATGAGTAACATTAATAATTTAACAAGTCATAAATGGTTTTACATGAGATGGATATTGCACAGGTAATATTTTGGTCTTAACAAGTAATGTAAAGGAATTTACAAGTAAGATTACACAATTTACAAGTGAAGTTAAAAAAATTTCATTAATTTAAAGAGAAGTACATTATTAAAATTTACAAGATATTTTACTTGTGAAATTAGCAATTTAACAAGTCATGTATGAATTTACACATGTTAGGTAGTTGATAAATAACATCACAAACTTGACAAGTGATGTTAGGAAATTTACAAATAATATTAGCATTAGTAATTTAACAAGTTATGAATGATTTTACATAAAATGGATATTGCAAAGATAGCATTCTGGTCTTAACAAGTTACATAAGAAAATTTAAAAGCAAGATTTCGCAATTTACAGTTAAAGTTAAGGAAATTTACATTAATTTAAAAACAAATATATTATTAGATTTTATAAGATATTTTACTTGTGAAGTTAATAGTTTAACAAATCATGTATAAATTTACACATGTTAAGTATTTGAGAAGCAACATTATAGACTTAAAAAGCAACATAAGGCAAATTACAAGTAATATTAAATATTCTACGAGTGACATTAGTAATTTAATAAGTTATGAATGATTTTGTATAAGATGAATATTACACAACATTCTAGCCTTAACAAGTCACATAAGAGAATTTACAATTGAAATTTTACAATTTAATTTGAAGGCAAGTACATTATCAAACTTTAAAAAATATTTCATGCTGATACTTTTGATAGTATGTCAAAGTATTACCATGAAATAAAACATTATGTACTTCAACTTTCTGGAGCATCTTAACAGCAATTTTATTTTGCTTGCTAATTTCTCAAACCATGATAGGAAAATCGTGGAGAGATTTAAATCTGAATCTTTTCTTTGCAGATATATAGAGTCCTATTGAACCAGGTGATTTTTTCTAGACTTTTTTTGTTTTTGCTTTCTTTTTTTCCTGTTTCAATTGAGGGCATTTTGGTTATTTATTAAAAAAAATTTACTTCATTTTAGTTCTTTGAGCTTGCAATGTTATTTCAGAATTATTTAGATGTGATTGGAAAATATCTTCCCACCGTGGACCTGAAATGAAATTCTTCCTATAGTTAATTCTCTTGCAATTTTTAAGGGGTTAAAAATAAGGTGGTACAATTATTTTATATTTATTTATTTGTTTGTTTACAAAAGCACAAGTAATATCATCGCCGACTTTAGTGGCTCCGGCGTATAAAAGCCTAAACCGCTTCTTCTGCAGAGGGTTATAATTGTTCTTGGGCGTTGTGTTTTGCGTTTGATTGGGGTCGGAGCTAATTTCACCTTAATTCTTCTCTGGGTATGTCTTATGCTCATCTTTCGTGTTTGTATTATGAATTTTGCCGTTCCTTTTGTTTCTAGTTTTTATATAGGATTTGTGATAGCGGGAATATACTTACGAATTTAATCTTTTATTTCTTGTTGTTATTATTTTTCCTGTAATTTCAGTGATGGTTGTTCTCTGTGATTTGCTCTTTTTCTGTCTTCCTGGATATGCAAGTTTAGTATATTGTTATCCCGTTGCCATTTTTTTTCTCAATTCTTTGGTAAAAAGAGAAGGTGAGTGGGGAAAAGGGGTAATCTTTTGGTTGTGCTGGTTTTATATATAAAAGTTTGCTGATCATAGTTCTCTTTATTTTGTTGGTAGTAGCAAGTCTGGTGATGAGATAGCAAAGATTTTTATAATTTTTGTTATACGAAACTATAGTGTAGCATGTTCACGCTGTATATGCTGTCCATGTATCATAGAATATTGTGCTTGATCATCAGAAGAGATCATTAATTGTGATGAAGTAGTTTTGGAGGGGAGCTTATTTATAATTATAAGTGTATTTTTCTGTATACAGGAGTAGAATTTTTTCTTGATTTTTCTGATAAACATGAATAATTTGAAACATATCACATTGTGTATTATTAGTTAATGCTTTGTATAATATTGTGATTGTTCAATAGATGATACTATCAATTCTTATGATGGAAACGTTAATACATAATATCCATGGGAGAATGGGTGTTTTGGTTATATTTGTATATTGCAAGTGGATGATTGGAAGAATATGCTTGAGACTGAGGGTATGCGATGCAACTTCTCTAATGACATAAGGGGATTTCCATTTGGCATGACATAAATTGATTCTCTGATATTGTGTAGGTGTCAATGGTTTATTGAAGTGTAAAAGAAGAGATGAAGAAAATTGTCCATAAAGTCTAAGATGTGGGCATTACTTTCTTCTATACTTAATTCATTCCCACGTAATCTGAACCTTGGGTGCAAATTGGGTTGATAATGAATTTCTTTTGGAATACAATAAAGACTCTTCAATATGGTTTGCAATATCAAAACTCAAGCCAGTAAAAGTATGGTTTTGCAAAGTGGTAATTCGAATTTTTGTGTCTTGAATAGAGTATTCATAAAAGCTAAGAATGAATTTGCTGGTAGAAGTTTGTTTTTCACGGACAAGGGGTGCTATTTGAAGTTACATAACTCTTCAATAAAGCAACATAATGGTATGAACCATGGTGCTTCATGAACAAATACTACTTTCTATTAATATGTATTATAATTAACCTGTTCATGAAGAGCATCATTCTTCCAAATATGTAGGATTTCCATGAGCTAATACAATTTTTCACTAAGTGGTGTTTGCTATTACATTCTTTTGAAGGTGTTTTGAAGCGTTTATAAGGACATAACCTTGATGAGTTTTAGTGCTGTAACTCCCTGCGTGACCTTTCATAGATGTGTCTTAATCTATAAAGACATGGCTATATATGAGACCTCTCTTCATTTTGAAAATATCTTCCCATATTTTTGATTAAGAAAAAGCATGTCTTCTTTTGATGGCTGCACATCCTTGAAGTCATGTATTCGCATGATCTTGGCTATTTAACAGTGAAAATTCACGGGCATGTAATGGAGGACTTGGATGGTCAGATCAAAAAGAATTGAAGTATGGGGAATGGGATCAACTGGAGTATTTGGGCAAGAATCTCACTCACATAAAACCAGTAGCCTGGAGAATCTCCAAGATAATTCAGAAAACCATGTCAGTGCATGGTTTTTCAAACAAGCAGGATAGAAATACCTACAAGTATAACCTACAATTCCCTACCGCATGAAGGAAAAATGGTAAAAAAATTATTTGAGATGGTTTAGACATGTATAAAGAAGATCACAGGAGACAGTTGTAAAGAGAGTAGAACAGATAATTTTGAGTTCTAGCAAGAGGAGTAGAGGAAGGCCAAAAAGAACACTTTTGGAAGTTGTTGATCGAGACTTCTTAATTAACAATATTTCTAAAAGTTTGATAAATAATAGAGCATAATAGCATCGCATAATCTATAGAGCTGACTCCACCTAATGAGATAAGGTTTATTGTTGTTGTATGATAACTTCTAAGTTATGCCTCATTTTGGTTGTATGACTGTCTTGGGTTTATGCTGATCTGGCATGCTAGGATTCTGTAGTGGCATGACACCCCTATGTGTCCTCCAACAAGTATATATTAGCAAGGGTCCTTTATCAAAGACCTATGCTAGGCATAATCCAGAAGAAAGAATTAAATGCCTGGAAAATTTGAGATTGTTTAGTACATCACGGAACTTTATTTTATTAATTTTCCGATTTTGTTTTCTGTGTTATTTTATTTTTTGGTAATGGGCTTCCTATAAATAGCCATCTCACAAGTAATATGTAATTACTTTGAACCATTGGAATTGCATATTCATCTTTATTCTCTATTTTCTTCACACATTCCTCCCTCCCTCTTTCCTACATCAGCATGCCAGTGTTGTGTGTATTTGTAGAATTCTACTTTGTTATTTGGGAACTGGTGATACTTTTGCATAACTACTAGTAAGTTTGATAGCAATAGTATCTGCTAGTATATGTTGGTTTGTTTTGTTTTTTCTGTGCTTTCCCTGACCTCTTGCAGTTCTTACTTCTTAGTGGTTTCTTATAATAAGAAGTCATCTGTGGGTGAGAACCTACCAGGGGAGAAGCTCATGTCAGAATTCGATGCACAGACTCCAACTGCTTATGGTAGGCTTTTAATGCCTCTTGAATTTAAATATATCTGTGATATCTGACTGTTTGAACATTTCAACCCAATAGCTGACTTGAATGGATTACTGGGCAGATCCCTTTGCTGATGCAAATGCCGAGGACTCAAGTGCTGGGACAAAAGAGTATATTCATGTGCGTGTACAACAACGCAATGGAAGGAAAAGCCTGACAACCGTTCAAGGGTTGAAGAAAGAGTACAGCTATAGCAAGATACTGAAGGACATAAAGAAAGAGTTCTGCTGTAATGGTACTGTTGTCCAAGACCCTGAGTTGGGCCAGGTATGTTCGTCTGATTTGCTAAGGAATGCCTTTGTGTATAGTAGTTTTGGAAATGTTTTCCTAGTTTACACTATACATCAAATCAATGGGCTGTAAACAAATATGTTATGGAAAAACTTGTAACCGAGTTCTTACAACGGTTCAATGGTCTGATGCTAGGTTGGCAAAGATCTGCATATGTTGTGTTTTTATTGAGTTGCATGCTTGCAAACACGTAAAAGAACTGTATTAAGTCTTGGCCTGCTTGATCTCCCTATAAACTATAATTCCTCAAGTGAAGGAAATAAATGATGTAGTCTTCATCTTCAAGGGGGTTTGTTTCATTTTGGTCCAACAAAAAGGAATTATTATCATTTCATCATTCGAACAGTATGTTATAGATTGGCCGATTAAATCTCTCCTTGTCAACGAAAGCACCAAGCCTAAGCCTCACTTGTATGGATGCAGGTCATACAACTTCAGGGAGATCAAAGGAAGAACGTTTCCACATTCCTTGTGCAGGTAAATGAAATATGCTCGTTGTATTGATTTAGCTGGTAAGAATACGGTAGGCCGAGTTATAATTGCATAAATTCCTGTGTACTTTGACAAACAGGCTGGCATAGCCAAGAAGGAGCAGATCAAGATCCATGGTTTCTAAGGCCTAAGAAGCAGTGGATAATCCAGTTTTATATGTTATATGGCCTGCTGGCTACACTCATGGCAGCAGTTGACGATAAATCTGAAAGCTTTATATAATCTTTGTTGTCTTTGAACGTTCTTGGATCGTTATTCACTTGCCATGTGATAGAATATATGGCTGTTACGAAGACAAACTTTGCAATAAATTTGTCATTATGTCTCCGTGTGTGTCTCGGGTCTATTTCCGTTTCTGTGTCTTTTGCTCCTGAAATGTTCAAATGAAGACGAATCTGGCTCGTCATTCTAGGCCGACGTTCGGAGGGCGGTTTGAACAATGAAAGAGGAGTGCGATGGTATGTGGGGAATCATGTTATTGATAGTTTGCATGAACAATATGTTTCATATTTTCTAATTACTGGTATTGAATATATAAATTATTATACAAAGACTAAAAATTTCAACTTGAATTCTTAAATTTTCATAATCCAATTAAAATTTGTTTTTAGATCTTTTCTGCAATAATGATGTTCAGTTTGTAACTTTGTATAAAAAAAAATGATGTTCAGTAAAAGGATGGTTATTAAAAAAAAATTGGGTTAAATGGCAAATTTATTTTTAAATTATAAGTTTAGGGATGTTTTAGATTTAATGGTTTTTTTAACATTTAAAAATAGTATAATGTTATTGTTAATTTTGATTATTAGTTGATTAAAAGATTATGAAAAATTAAGAAATTTTTTTGTCTTTTCCTGTATTTTTGAAACTTTGTTTATAATTAGAGTTTTTTTAATTTTTTAATTAATTAATAATCGAAGTTGATATTTGTTAATAATATTATACTGTTTTTATAATGAAGGAAAACATTATAATAAAAATAAATTTAGAGTTTCTGAACTTGAACGGGAAATTTACTCTTTAACTCAAAAAAAAAAAAAGAGTTTGAAGATATATTTATACAAATATATCTCTATTTAATTTGAAGTTCGGAGTTATAATTTTCTACTGTCATCAATAAAAATTAGTTTTCAATAATTAGCGAAGAGAATGTTGATTGTATGCTTATGTTTACGTTATTGTTAATAATGTACTGGATGGATATCGAAATAATTTAGTTTCATATAATTTTTTTTTCTAGAAGCTGAAGTGCTTGATGAAATGAGCGGGCCCACTTCGACGAGGGGGTGGTCGGCCAGAGGTTCTGGTGTCGTCCTTATCTCTTATGCAATACGACAGGACTGACACCCCCGCCTTGGAAGTTAAACCCAAGTTCTGTCTGATGGTGTGTGGCGGTGGGGCAGACAGAGCTAGAAGGATAATCATGGAATTACGCCGCTTAAGCCAATGAAACATCTATTCCCTTTTTTGTCTAAAAGAACCTACCACTGCTCTCAAATTCTCCTCGCTTCTCATTCAACTATTCTTTCTGTTTCTCTCTAGATGCACATCCCACCACTTTATTCACCGTTCATTAAATGCCGCTCCATTTCAGTTGCTTCATTATTTTATTTCAAGTCCTTGATAAGATAATCTGATTTACCAAAGTCATTTGTTGTGGCTCTTTCAGAGTAAGTAACAAGTACAAGCAAACTAGTCTCTAGATGCAGTACTAACAATTGATTAATTTTTCTCTTTGCGGTGCCTTGTACTCATTCAATATACTATAAACGTTGATCAAGTCTCGTGGTTTGTTAGCTTTAACTTTTTGGCATTTTCTTAATGATTGCACCTAGTTAGAGAGAGCATAATCCCCAGCTACCACTAAATTCAACCACATCCTTCACATTTCTTCAATTGCATGCCATTATTTGTTGAAACGGTAATCACAACGCTGAGAAAAATCATGTCATGAGATGTCTATTTCCCCAAGACGGGTAAAATTTGAACTTCGTTTAGCCTTTGATTTTTGAACTTCCTTTTCGGCAAAAACGAGTTTTTCACTTTTGCCCCTTTTAATGATCGCCTTTTCGCCAGGGATATGTGTGTGTGACCGATGAGGCGCTGAGCAAAAAACATCCAAGATTTGGAATCTCTTGCGATGTCTTCACCAACCAAACATTTAAGTGCCCAACTACCTATCAAAGTTAGACTAAAATTCGCTTCAACTACCAGTCTTCTCTCTCTATTATGGTCGCCTTTGTCCTAAGAATATTTTCTCCTATTAATACTCGACACTTGTTAATGATTGACAACATCAACAAACTTCAAGCATAGTTCCTTCTCCGCATCTCCTCTCATACAAAACATACACTGAAACTATTTACATCTCCTTTGAGCTCCTTTGTAACAATGGCTGACATGGATCGCGCTTCTGATGATGTTTCTGCAGATTCTACAGGTACCTCTTTCGTAATCCATGTCTTCTTCTCTTAACTGAGTTGCTTTGTTGTCCCTCTGCTATTTGAAGCCTGCTTGCTCTGGTATAATTGGCCGACCATAGTTTCAGAGATTGCTAAAATCTCGTCCTTCTTTATTATGTTTACCTTGGGTTTGATGAGAAGAATAGGGACCGAGTCATGGCGTTTCACAAAAAAAAAATGGCACGTTTCGTGTAGATTTCGAGGAAGTGACTTTTGTTTTCTGTTTCTTTTTTCTGGTTTTTTTTTTTTTTAGCAGAGCAAACCAGTCAAGCTTCCAAGGCTGAGTTTTCTGAAGATGAGGAAACCCTCATAACCAGGATGTACAATCTGGTTGGTGAGAGGTGAATATGCTTTCCTTTTCTGATAATCTCTTTTTTATCCCAATATTTCGTTCAAAATATAAGTAATCTTAAGAGATAATTTACTTCTTTCTTAGGTGGTCTTTGATTGCTGGAAGAATTCCTGGAAGAACAGCAGAGGAAATAGAGAAATACTGGACTTCAAGAAGCTCAACCAGTGAATAAGTACAAGAAAATGACCAAGTTTCATTCACTCCTGGAACAAAGAAAATTTTGGGCCTTTATAAGTTGTAGAAGTTATATGTTATGGTATATGCAAAGATGACCTTATAAAGGGTACTGGTATTTCGCGTTTTCACTGTAACCAAAGGGGGCATGCCATAAAGCCTCTATAATATTCTTCTTCGTCGTGAATTGCTATTTGAAGTAGTGCTAGCCACCTGCGAGTATCTTCTTATTCGTATAGCCTATAGAATATGCTTTAGTGAGCCCTCTGGAATCTGGATGTTTTTTGCTTCTCCTTCGAGAGTTGTAATTTGAAGTGAAGGCCACCTGCGTGTAGTCTATCGCATTCTGGGTTGGTACAAATTCTTTCTTTCAAAGCAACCACGAGTGGTGAAAGTTTTCCTGATGAATTATATTGTAAAGATGTCTTGTGAAGTCACTTCACAGTTCACACACACAACTTGGAATTTGGAGGGTTGAAATCTGAAACTGGGTATGTTATCTTGACCTTTTTCTATCCAACCAAAACGTGCTAAAATGTCTTTTCAACAAAGTGGCATGATGACAACATAATCTTATCCAACACTGCCCCATATCTGCCAACTAAGTAGCATAAACACTGACACATAATGTACACTGCATTGAATTGACATAACAATCTGAGGTGTCGATGCATAACTTGAGTCTAATGTAATACGAATAGAGCTCATTTTAATTATCCATTCTTGACGCTCTGTCAAACAGGGTGAGTTCTGTCTGAATCAAGCAACTAGGCCTGTGTTTCATATCACGATTTAGTATGTTACGACCAATAAGTTCCAGATAACCCTGCGGTTGTGATTGAAATCAAAAAAGACCAAGTAAAATGGAAAAAGGACGAATAGACATTCAATGACTTGGCTTTATAAGAGTTTTAGAGGGAAACGCATTACTGCACGCTGATCACCCCTATGGAGAGACCTGGGACATTCATTTTTCTTCAAATGATCCCTGCCCGTTGATTTAAAATTATTTTTTAGATATTTTAATATTATATTTATGGAAATAAAATATATAAAAATTATAATATTAAATATGGATTGTTTTTTATGTTATTAGAGAATAAATATTACAGTACTATATAGTCTAAATTTAAGATTTTTACTTTTATTTTATATTTATTAAAATAAAAATATGTAAAAAAATATAGAAGTCTTTAATAAAATTGTTTATCATCAATCTGGCCAGTACAGATTTAATTTGGATGACCCAGTTTAATATTATTTTTTAATAATTTTTATAAATTAACTATTCAAATATACTCTATACAATATAAATATAATTTAGAAGGTTCAATTTGATATAAAAATTTTTAATTTTAATTAACTGATCATCTAAATATATTCTGGATAGTTCATATTTAATAATATAATTTTTATAATTTTTATTTTGATAAATTTAATATAAAAATATTTTAAAAATAATTTTAAATCAACGACAAATATCATTTAGAAAAAAGTGAAAGGCCAAGATCACTTCATAGGGGTGATGACCACAGTGCTCATCACTGCCGAACGCGGTCCCGTCTTACGGAGGGTAAACTGGTTTCATAGATCTTTTTCAATTTTAGCGAGTCTTTTTGGTTCCTCCAAAATTATCTGAAAATCAAGTTCCTGATATACTGCTGTGTGAAATTGCTGAGATCATAATTTTATGGAAAATGAATTATGATTTCAAGCGCTTGTGTGTAAATGATTTTCTTTTCAATTTTGTTAAATAGCATAGGTGAATGATAAAAGCTTAGAGTAAACTACGCCACAATATTTATGATAATTCTGATTAAGATTGTCTTATTCTCTTCCTAAGTACAATGTACAGCCAGACTTAGACTCAACGATAGAGCATTTTATCACCTAAGTGGACAACCTACATACTTCACAGTCATCATATTCTGATTTTCTACTACAGCACTACAAAGAGAGACATGCACAGAGTTCGGTTTTACTGCTCGTTATGTGATGAGCACCGCCGTACTCATCACTTGACGAGTATTTGGACCATTCAGATTAAAAATTTAGATGGTCCAAATTTTACAAAATTTATTTTTTTAATTTTATTCTATATTTATTATAAAAAATTTAAATTTTTAATAAATTTATTTTATTATTAATCTAGATAATATAGATTTAATTTGAGTAATTTAATTTAACATTATTTTTAAAAAAATTTATAAATTAACTATTCAGATGTACGCTGGACAAACTGGATTCAAAATACATTTGGATAATTAATTTATAAATTTTTTTAAAAAATTAATATTAAATTAGACTACTCAAATTAGATATGTATTATTTAGATTGATGATAAAGTAATTTATTAAAATTTTATATTTTATAATTTAATAAATATATATTAAAATATAAAAATAAAATTGATAAATCTAAATCATTTAAATTAAAAATTTGGACTATTCAGATTGCTTATCACCTGATAAGCACCAAAATCAAACGCGACTTGCACATGGGTGGGGTGGAACCTTAGGGCCTATTTTACTGGTGTGTTTCTCTCTCTTATTGCAACATGATGCTACTGTAACAGAGATTCATGAAAAACTTTCCCAAGCATTATATGAAATTTGAAGCATGGGTCATTTTATTCACGACTAAATAGTGTCCTTTGTTACAGATTTTGTTATACATATCGATATATTTATTACACTGATATGTTGAAGATAAACACAAGGGTCTAAGTTCTAACCATCCAAATGAAGTATAAGAGAAGTACAGTGATGAAGCGCAAGCTCAGTAAGAGTACACTCAGGGTAATTCACCTAAAGTACACATTTACTTGCTGAAATATCAATATCCCACACATGAGTGAATCAAACAGCGGAACATGGCTAGCAAGTGGGAGAAAAGAGCGTAACTCGGTAAATGCAACTCTTTAGTATTCAATGCAATAGTGAGAGTTGTTTTCATTAAAGTTCAACGAGAGTTATTAATGTTGAAGTTTCTTCTAACTTAGCTGTACTTTTTCTTGCAGGGAATCTCAGTCTTTCTTTTCTTGAAGCATCATGAAGCAGGGTAAGAGCAAATATTTATCTGAACAAGCCTTTTGCTTTCCTCTCTCAAGTGAAGTAATAAATTACGTGCGACGATGGCAACACATTTGATCATTATTCATTTTTCAGCTTCTTCCTTCTTTTGTATTTTTACTCCATACTGTCTTCACATTAGGAAATGAAACTTTTGACATTCTTACTGTTTTACTCTTCGGTTAAAAATTGACGTGTCATACGCCCGTCACGTTTTACTCTTTGGTTAAAAATTGACGGTCCATTGTGTGGGTTTGAGTAAAAGTTAATTCATTGACTTCTCTGGCCGTTTCTTTCCTTCTTTCTTTATTTTGTATGAGGTTAGCAACTTGCATTCTGTTTATGTTTCTTTAATTCGAAGGGTCAACGAGAATGGACAAATTAAATAAATGCATTAACTAGAATAACGTGACGAATGACGACTAACGTATGTTGCATTAGCTCTTGGTTAAGAGGTGATATTTCAAAACCAGATAAGCTGTCACTTTGCCCAACTATATCTTATTGAATGAAATATAGTGGAAGACTCCTTACTTAGTGGCAGGATCATAGCAATGAATTCGTCTTCCTATCCCATTATACTCTATGTAACCCATCTTGATTAAAATAAATATACTAAGTATAAGGGCGAAAAGTGTTCATATCAATCATGTTCTCCCAATCCATTGTTGGGATCGTAGTACATGATAATGTCATTCCTCGTTGCATAAGTTAAAAACAGAGAAAACACCCGACAAATAGATGGAAGCAGCAAGCAAGAGTTGAAATGAGGGATGCAATGTTTGTTTTTTAGTACAAAACCACAGAAAAACTGTATAAAAGAACAGGAATCACGTCATGTCAGATTTCATGAGAGATTGACAACCTGATGTTAGATCATTAAAAAACAACAATATCAAAGTTTTCTTGTGCGATTTGGTGAGCCAGCATGTTGGCACATCCATTCACTTTTTTAAACATGGAATCAAAGGTAACAATTCAGTCTTTCATGACAAAATGTCTAACTCTCTTAATAATTTCAAAAAGAAGATAATTATCAATGATATTATGCTAAATAAGGGAGAGAGCTTTCACGAAATCATGATGAATATTGATTTTAATAAGCCCTGCATTCCAACAGAGTAGAAGTCCTCCTAAGATACCCAAGAGTTCAATTGCTATGCTTGGTCGATATTCAAGATATTTGAAAAATCTCTTAATCCAATTACTTTTGTCACCCCTATGATGCCATCACAGGTTACAACTTCATTGGATCTGACAGACCCGTCAATATTAAGACAAATCCAACTTGCATGTGGAGGACTCCAATAAACCTTAGATCTTTTACCAGCACATCTCTATATTAGAGTCTTATGTCATTAATAACTTATTAGGAGCTAAAAAAGGTGATGTTTATATTTTAGTTGATTTCTTCATAATACGTCTTTTTTCATCGTGCTTTCCAAATGTCCCAACAAACATTTACCTACGCAGTCTTCTTCCATGTTTCTCACTAGTCTTCTAGCTCTCATAATTGCTTCCCATGCCGCTTTGGCAGAAATCTTAATAGCAGTTTGTATCCAAGCGTTTCCGTCACTTCATTTTGGTGCAACTGGAGACTATTTTGGGCTTAATTTGCTTCTCCAACGCGTGGACAATTTAGCCCATGTGGGTATTTCCGTTCTGGATGAATAAAACATCTCCTTTTTTCTTTAAAAAAAAAACATTGGTTTTGTTGGGGTGAAAATAGGTAGACTGACTTAAATAGGCTTAAATGTGTGTTATAAGTTAAAAGCTTGAATCTAATTTAAAATTTATAAGACCTTTTTCAGGATTAAATTTAACTTATTTAAAGTTAGTCCCCGCCTAGACTGAAAAACTTATTTTAAATATGTTACAAAGTAATCATTTTAAATAGATTTTATATATTAGTTTTAAATATTTTAAATATACTTTGTCACTATTAAACTTTATATATATAAAACATGAATTATCAATTATAAAAAATATAAGATAATAATTAAAAGTGTTTACCATTATAAGATAACAATAGTGAAGTAACAAAGTTAAAATCAATAAATAGTTCAATCTAATTGAAAACATAATCCAAAATTTGAAAAAATCCCTGGATTAAAATTAAATAGTAAAAATTATGTGTAATTAATAGTTTGCATAGCAATTTAATGTGTGTATTCATTAAATAACTTTATTTTAATATTATTATTTATCTCTTTTTATTTAATACTAAGTGTACATTTATGTTATTAAGTAAAGGATATTTTAAAAGTTTACATTCTTATTTTAAAAAATAACATTGTAAATGTATTAATAAGTTTATTAAATATAAAATTATTTAAAAAAATTTTATCATTTGAGATAGGGCTATTATAGAGATAAGTTTATTAATCAATATCATGCCTCGTGTCCAGGATGATATCCAGATTTTTATCCAGCG